GAGCACTAAGCAGGGTTGCCTGTATATAGTTAACCTCCCACTTTCCATAAAGTGGGCACAAAGCCAAGATCTTCCCACTGGAAATGAAATAGGAGGCACCTCCCTAGCTTGCTCCTGCAGCTGTACAGCTGAGGTCAAGCAAAACTCAGGGGCATCCAAACCTCAAGCCTCCAGGCTTGGGCCTGCACATAGGATGCCTGCCAAAGGCTTTGGAAGCATCTGAAGCCTCAGGTGGGGGTGGAGAATGGTTGCTGGTAGTAGGGCTACACGTGGTTCTGAATGACTCATGAGTTGGAACATGAACAATTTTCCTTATAAATAAAATGTGGGCTGCCCATTGTGGGTTGGGGCTCTCAGTCCTGCTGCCCTCCCTCCAGGGCCTTAGTAGGTAGGACCCAGCCCGGGAAGATAGAGCCAGGGCAGGGAGGCTCAGTGTCCCACTTTTGCATTGTGAAAAGGTGGTCACCCTAGCACTAACAGACAGTTATAAAGGATGGGGATTTTCAGACACAGCCAGTGCTCAGGCAGCCCTTAGAGGACAGGAGTTTAAGCTTTTCAGGTTGTTGTGGGAAAGCAGAACTCAGCTTTCAAGTCTGCCCAACCTGTTCTTGCACAGCTCCAGGGACGAAGATCCCACAACATCTCTGGACCCTGTCCCAGTCCTTGACCCACTTTCCTATACTGAAAATTCCTCCTAATCTCGCATCTGAATTTCCTCTGCTGTAGTTTAAGATCATGGCTTCCAGCTCTGTCCCCTACAGCCACATAAGTAGGTGATCTCCATCCTCTTCCATAATCACCACAATCCATAGCAGATTATCTAGAAAGAACGCCACTATCCACAATTTTTGAAGATCAAACTTTTCCCGTTTTGAAGTGGCCATCTACCCTTACAACTACCAAAAAGACCCATTTGGAATAAACTCTACACCATGTATAAATATAGTAACTGGGTAGAAGCAGGGGGGAGGGGAATAATACAAGTATACACAATCCCAGGCCACATTTCTTTCTGTTTTTCTTTATCATTTATATTTATGACCTTGGCAGACAAGTCAGTATGATTGTTGTAACTAGAACAAAGATATGATACAACATTAGTGGTTAGTACCATCTTTCCAATAACATTTTAATTTTTATAAAACTTGTGGTTCTTTATCACTCTTACAAGGCTCTAGGTAACTTCTTCAGAAAAAGGATTTACTTAAATACGAGAGTCTTATTCTTTACAATGCGGCTGTTGGATCTATTTTGAAGTTACAATTACAAAAAATCCTTATCCATTATTAAAGCAGATAAAGGCAACATATAAATGAAAACATTTCATCTCGCAGCAGTGTCCTCCAGGTCTGGAGAGGGAAAAAAGGAGGGTTGTATTGGGGGGGGGGGGGGGGGG